AGTAAAAAATAAGCTAAAATATAGAATCTAATAAATTAATTAAAATAAGAATTTAATATAATATCTAGTTTTATATAAGGTACGTAATAATAAAATAATATATAAGTAATTAAAGTAAATAAGCTATAAAATAATACTTATAAATATAACTAATTCCAAGAATTAATTCTAATAAAAGACTAATTAATATCTCTTTCCAAAGCTAGAAGTATTTCTCTATATATTTCCTAGTATTTAGCTAAATATATGAAGTTCTTTATTTAATTAGGAAATATAATCTCATATAATTCATATAATTCTAATTATTAGCTTTATTTAAAATAGGAAACTAGATTTATAATATCTAATATCTATTTATATACTATTATATATACCTATTATATTTTAGTATTAAATAATAATATCTTGATTTTATAAAGCTTTTATAATAATAATATTAATATACTAGAATTTTTATAAAATTTATAATATTAGTTAAATTATATAAAAAATAATACTTATTTGAAATTATATAAAAATAATAATAAACTCTTTTAAGTTATATATTAAAAGTACTCGCGTTTTATATATAATATTTATATCCGAGATATTAGTTTATTTTAGAAAGAAATATAATATGAAATTAAATAAATTAATAGCTTTTATAAAGCTCGGAAATAAGCTTATTTTAAAGAAAGAAATAATATTATTATTATAGTTCAGGTTTCGATATTCTAGTTACCTAATATAGTTATCTAATAGCTAGTATAGAAATATATATAGAGATATTTAGAATACTAGGCCCTTTAGGAACTAGTATATTACAGATATACTTTACTCTTATAGCCTTCTATATTCTAGTCTTCCCTCTTTTAGCTTTTAATTATTTTTATAAGAGACCTTCTATTTTGCTTTTCAAGCTCTAAATACCGCACTTGTAATAATTATAATTTATTAGATATTTAGATATTCAGATACTCAAATATCTAAATATCTTTTAGATATATATAATATAGCTACTTTATTAGAAAAATATACTTGAAATATACTAGAAATATTTAGATAACTAAGTTCTTTAGGAACTAGTATATTATAAGATATATATATTTCCTTATAATCTCTTATATTCTAGTTTTCTTTTTCTTAGCTTTAAATTATTTTTATAAGAGATCTTTTATTTTACTTTTTAAGCCTAGAATATTATATTTATAATAATAAATATTATAATTTCTAGCTATTTATATGGGCTCTAAAACAAAATTAATAATAACTATAATACAAGCTAGTAATAATAGTTCTTATTTCCCGAATATTAATATATTTTCAACTTTTAATTATATTATTATATATAGTTTTTTTAGTAAATAATTTAATATATAAAAACTTATATTATTAATTCTTTTTTATTATTAATTAATAATTTTAATATATTTCTTAAATTTAGTATTTATCTCTTATATTAAGTAATTATTTCTAATATATAATTATATATTTTTATTAGTTTCTAATTTTAGTTTTATTTTATTTCTATATTTAAATATCGGCGATTTCTAATATTATTAATAATAATATAATTATATATTATAATAATATTCTTTTTATTTCTTATAAAAATATTATTAAGATTTATAGTTTAGTTAGAACTATAGTTTACTAGAAAATATTAAATAACTATTACTTTTATAATATAATAATAATATATATTTAATACTTTCTATTTACTTTTCCTTTAAAAATATTATAAATTATATATAAATTTATTAACTTTATAATAAAAATATTATAATTAGTATATTAAAATAAGTATATTATATAATAAAATAAAATATATATATATATAAGGCTTTACTTTATTTAGCTAGTTTTAAATAGAATTTAATAACTTATTTTTTATTATATATATTAATATCTAATTATTTTATTATTTTATTTTTTATTAATAACTAGTTTAAAAGTAAAATAAATTTTAGAACTAAATAAAAGAAAGTTATAAATTCTTAAAACTTTAATTTAATTTATTAATTATATACGAGTTTTAATTATTATTAAATATATAAAAGACTAATTATTATATTAAAAAGCTTATAATTATAATATCTTTTACTATTATATATATTATATAAACTATATATATAATATTAAGTATATTTATAAATATTATAGTTTTTTAATCTAGCTAATAAAATAATAATATACTTAATTTATATATTATATTATATTTACATTTTTTTACTTTTATTAAAAAAATTCTGGTTTTAATATTTATTAGCTTTTATTATATAAAGCTTAAAAAACTCATAATTTTAATATTATATTTTATAAAGTAATTAAATATATAATATAATATACTATAATAAATATTTTTTTAATTTCTAAAATAAAAAATAAAAAATAATTTAATTATAAAGCTAAATTAATAACCGGATTTCGGTAATTAGTAAGCTTATTATTATAAAATAATTTCATTTTTTTAGTTTTTATTTTATATATAATTACTTTCTTTTAATTAATTTAAATATTTTTGTTTATTAAAAGTTTTTTAACTAGTTTTTATAAATAAGCTTTTTAGGAAATAAAAGTAATAAAAATTAGTATTATTTTAGTTTTTTTATTTATTTATATTAAGCTAAAACTTTATTATATTATATTTATAATAAATTATAATAAAATTATAATTTATAAACCGTTTTATAACGTTTTATAATAAAGTTTTCTTTTTTATAAAGCCTAGTATTATTAAAATTACTTATTTTTATAATAATAATTTATATATATAGCTATTTAACTTTTAAAAAACCTATTAATTAAAATATACTTTTTTAAAGTATTAAAATTAAAGCTTTTAGTAAATTATATAAAGCTATAAAGCTAATTTATTAAACAAGTATTTAACTCTATAATAATAAAGTAATTATAAATAATTTCTAGAATTTGAATTTTATTTTAGTTTAAGTAAAGAAGTTTTTTTTTTTTAAAAAAAAAGAATAAAAAGTTTAAAGTTTAAAAAGATTTCGATTTAAGCCAGAGCCTATAATATATCCTCTTTATTAACTATTTTATAAATAATTAAATTAGTATTATGTTTGTAAAATCGGTATTATTTAAGATAAGGCATTATATTTAAGCGGGAAGTCGAGCAGTTACTAATTGCTAAATAACGCCCCCAAAGCGCGATTGACTAAGCCTCAACGTCCCTAAACCACAACGAAATTCCCCTCAACGCACGCTCGACATCGCTACCTCACAGTGCCGCTTCTCATTACCAAGCCACGGATGCTATCAGTGACTGACTGGGCGAGTTTAAACAGCATTTCCTTCGTTAGAGCATCAAACAGGTGCAGTCAGGAAAAGCGGGGGCCCTCTAAACCGGCAACCTAAGGTACAGCCCATAAGTATTCACATAGCAACCGAATCGACAGGGGTCTATGAAAATTTAAACCCTCATAACTCTTTCAAATCGTGACATAAAAGCGCCTAGTAAACTCGATTATTATCTCATATACGTATGCTATTATGCTATTTTATTTTTCTGTTTTTTATAGCATTTCGTAGTTGCGTTGTAAGGGTTTGAAGTTCAGACCCCAGCTAGCGCTATATGAATACTTATGGGCTGTACCTCCGTACATTGATTTGGTACGTCCTCCTTTAGGGTTACACCAGCCTCTGACTGGGTTTTCCTTTTCCTTGGGGCGCCGCCACGTAGGGACGCTCCTTCAAGGCTTTCATCCCGTCAACACGAGGCCTCGCCGGTCCCGCCTCTGTCCACTGAAGAAGTAGAAATAGGCGAATGCAGTCGGAGTCTCACGATTATGCAGGATGGTGAAGAAGACGCAGTTAGGCTTAGCCAGTTCGGCCAGCTCATTCGATTCAGGATGCAGATCTGCAGGCGCAATGCGAGTTCTTCCTCAATTACGCCTCTCGAAGATACCTGCCGTGTACTGTGCCAGTGCAGTCCGAGCCGCGTTTCAGGATTATGTCAAGCTGCAGCGAGCATGGTCCGTCCATCCATCAATGCAGCTGCCAGCTGCGCTGCCGTGCCGCATCCATTGTCCCGGTAGCCCGTCATCACGAGGTAAACCTGATTAACTTTGCTGGGCTTGTGCGTTTCTATTGCCAAGGCTGTTGGTAATTCTGAACCCAGATTGCCAGTTTCATTGCAGTTCTCTATTCTCTGATTTTAGGTTAGGGGATGACCATGGGGCTGCGAATTTTTGTTCCGTGGAAGTGCGTTCTGTTGGTATTCTGCCTTTTCATTCGGTAAGGGAGGCGGGCATTTAGGATGATGGGGGGCTTGTTGTTCCGCAAGCACTGGGAAAACTTTCTTGAAAGTTAGAAGGTGGAAGAGCTTGCCTGGCCACGAATCATAACATGGCATTGAAGATTTCTGGGCTATGTGTTGTATGAATTCACAAACGCTGTCAAACAGAGCATGTCGAATTTCTTGAATTGGGGGACTGAAGTCACAGCTCTAGCTTCAGAATTCTATGCTTTAAATAACAATTAGGTCCACAGTAACGAACCTGCGACCATAGGTCTGTGCTCTACAGGGCATTTTCCGAGCCTCGCTAAACCCGCTTCAGGGCTCAAAATCCAAGAGTCGTGACCGTCACTTCAAAAGTTTGGAGCCACTAAGACATTTATTATTCCCAAGTTATAGTACATCGTAATTAAATTAGATAAATTACCCTTTCCTCAATTTATCTTATTATTTTTGAGAACTTGATAATTTTGTTTGGGTGCAAAATGCCCTGTAGAGCACAGACCTATGGTCGCAGGTTCGTAAGGGGTGCTTGTTCGTGTCTCTTGTACGGCGGACTCGATCGGCATCAACAAAATATCTCTCGGCGCTGGTGAGCTATAGAATACGCCTTTCGTCGTCATCCTCTCCATTCCGGGTCATTACGCTAAATCGCTCCCAAAAAAAAAACCTCAAGTCGCATTAGATTCTTCTCTAATCAAAGGCAGAATACAGCATGAGCCCATGCGAACCAAAAACTCCCATAACGCAAACCATCTCTATGTTAATGTTGTGGCCTCTCCCCTGGCGGCAGTTCGTACCTCGCCACCGGCTCGGCATTAACTTCCTGCGGATACTCTTGTAGCTGGTAATCCACTTTCACCGGCTCATAATAACTGGTCTGCACGTTATTCATCTTCGCCCTCCTTCCAAGAATTAGCCAGCCTGCAAGAACGCCAAGAAACATTGCGCCAGCGACTCCAATTGCGATACCGGCCTTTGCCCCAGCGCTCAAGCCAGACGAGGCGGGTGTCGAGGTCTGGGATGCAGATGCTGTATTAGAACTAGTCGCACTGGATGGGGTGGGTGATGTGGTGGAGCTGGATGTGGTGCTCGTGGTAGATTTCGCAGTGATGTTGAAATAGTGGCTGTTTACCAAGGCCGTCAGCTCACCTTCGAGGAAGAGGTTGAGATAGAACATTGGTGAGAGGGTGAGGTTTTTTTGTGTGTTCACGATCCAGGGCGTAGATAGGGCATCCGACGACGCGTTTCCTATGAAAAGATCGTCAGTATCAATCGAGCAAAATTATGGCGTATGGACAAATGAAATGAACTGTTGGCATACGAATGACATATTCAGGAGCGCCGAAGAATTCAGTCCCGTTCAGCTGCCACATGGTGACCGAAATTCGGGAATTGTTTGGATTCGTGACGTCCGCCCATTGAATGTCCTCGTACTCCCCCTCAACCATAACAATATTCGTGCTGAAATCGTCCGTTGCCACGAACGCGGGAGGATTGACGAAATGGACGTCTGCAACAGCAAGACAAGCAACAAGTGCCAAAAGTGGAAGGAAGAATTGGGCACGCATTTTGGCAGAGAGGTGCACCGTAGGGAGGAGCTATTTACGACTGTCAGTCACAGTGGATTTGTGAGCAGTAACATAGGATGGACCCGTATAGATAAGAAAAAGAGAGGAAGGCTGGGAAGACGATGGGGAGGCTTTGAGGATGTGCAGCACTGCCATCAGATCAGAGAAGGAGGGGCGGGTGGGGGTGCTATTCGCGCTGGGGCTCACAGCAACTTGAAGCACCAACAACTAAATCTGGTAACGAAACCAGAGGCTCCGCGCACATTACTTGTTCTATGGTCAGCCTCTGTTTTAGTAAGCAGATCGCCAACAACTTATAGGCTCTAGTGAAGTCTGCTGAGAAAAGAGGCTGTGAAAATACGAGCCAGTCTCCCGGTTCGTCGAAACAAGCTCAAAATTGCCCGCGTGTGGTTACACAGCATGACATTCGTGAGACCTGGCGAAGAAGCGTTGAAAAGTCATTCGCTTGGGAGGCCTTCCCCTGGGTTCCGCAGTACTTGCCCGCAAGTAAGAACCCTATGAGGCGCGCTGGACCCCTCGCTGTGCCATTTTCAGGCACTTACCAACCCAACCAAGATGGGTTGTTCGCTGCGCCAGCAAATTCCTTCAACTCATTGCCACCAGTTGGTTTGCCTTCGTGTGTTCCGAAACGGGGGACATAATTCACTCCCACCTCAACGTCAACGTCAACGCCAACCTCCTCCTTCTTCCTGCGTCTCTATACCAGTATGTCTCGAGTTGACGCAGACTACACGTCGTACTGATGTTTCTCTCAAACCGGCGCCCGACGTTCAAGTTTTCCAGCATCGTCACCCTCATTGCCCTGGTCCTCGTCTTCTGCTTCCCTTCGTACATCTGGCCTGTCACCGATGGAGAGGCAATTCGCATCCCCATCCCAGCCCCGTCTTCTCAAACGACGGCATCCTCTCCCAAGGCAACACCCTCCGCGACAGCGTTCCCAGAGAAGATATGGTACAAGCTCGGGCCTCGAGGCGTGACCGAGCAGGCACGAAAATGGATTGATTCCTGCCTCGACATAAACCCCACCCATAAATCCAAATTCATGACCGACCTCTCGGGCGACGCCTACGTCAAGGAGCACTTCACACACCGCCCCGACATCGTGAACACATTCCTCGCGCTCCCATTCCCCATTCTCAAAGCGGATTTCCTCCGTTACTTGCTCCTCTTCAACGAAGGGGGAATTTACTTCGATCTCGACGTCTCGTGCGAGGGTCTACCGATCCACGACTGGGTACCGGAACAGTACAAGAAATACGCTGGTCTCGTTGTGGGGTGGGAGTTTGACGTTGGCTGGTGGGACGGCTTTATGCGCCAGTTTGCGACGTGGACGATCATGGCGAAGCCGCGGTCGCCGCACATATCGGTGATGTTGGACGATATCCTGGAGGGCTTGCAGGAGAAGACGAAGGAATACAATGTTACTATTGCCGAGTTGACGTGGACCATGGTCGGCGACGTGGTGGACTTGACGGGCCCGAGGAGAATGACGCGGAGTATTTATAAGAGCTTGAAAGCAACTCTCGGGGACGGGTTTGATCAGGAGGATATCGCTGCTCTCTATGAGCCAAAGTTGATTGGTGATGTGCTGGTTTTACCGGGCTATTCGTTCGCACTGTCGTCGAATCATTACAAACCTGAAGATATGCAGGGCCCGGCGTTGGTTACGCACCATTTTGATGGGAGTTGGAAGAATGATCATGGTGGGGAGACGGCGGATCCTGTTCTTTAGCGCTAATTTGTGGGGAATGCATTATTGGTGGAACTCGGGCACGGAGCATGGATATCGAGTTGGGGGGGATAGTCGGAGTTCGAGGAGTTTACGATTTACAATATTTATACAACTTTTGTATACAAGACTTCAGGGTAATAAATTATATAGCTGGTATGAGGATAGCGGACGAATAGAGAAGGAATCTCACAAAAATAACTATGTCTTCTGGGAGTAGTTGCGGATAACTTGGCCCCGGCCGCTACTATTTGGATCTCCTTTTCGCGTATTATTCCCTTAATTCTAGTACTGCTAGTTAGCTTCCTTTACGGATTTCCTTTTTCTATAACGTGGTGTAAGGCGCACAATAGCAGGATGCTGCACAAGTAGCCAAGGTAAGATAAAGTGTAGATTGGCGCTTGCAAGTATAACTAATTCAAAGAAGTAACTCTAATAAGAGACTAATTAATACCCCCTTCTAAACCTATATGTGTCTCTCTATATACTTCTTAATACTTAGCTAGATATACGCAAGCTCTTTAATTAATTAAGAAATATAATCCCGTACAAATTCGTATAATTGAGTATAAGTAATAATATAAATAAGAAATCTAATTTATAATATTTAATATTTTCTTATATTTTCTTATATATATTTATTATATATAATTTGGTAAATTATAAAAATTAATAAATTATAAGCTTTTAGTATTATTAAAATAAGTAAGCTAAGATAAGGCTATATTATAATATAAGCTATTATTATAATATAAGCTATTATTATATTAGTAATATAATTAATTATATAATTAAAATATTAAACTTAATTTAAAGTTAATTAATAAAAATTAGTTATATAAAATACTAAATTTTAATTTAATTAATATTTGACTTTATAGGTATTTTAAATATTTAATTTTAATACTTTAAAATAAAAGTTTAAAATATATATAAGAAATTATTAATTATAGCTTTTAAGAATTATAATAAGAATTTAAAAGAAAGAAAAAATATTATAATATTATAATAAAGAAATTATATTATAAAAGAAAGCTTTTTATAATTAAATATTATAAACTTATATATCTAATAAAGCTAGCTTTTAATTAATATAAGAAAAATCTATTTAATTTATTTGAATTACTTTCAAGTAATTTTAAGTAAAATATTACAAAAAAAGCAGTTATATTATAATATATTTAGATATTAAAGAAAGAGAAGTGTGGTATGAGTGGCCAGAGCTTAAATACAGTGAGTGTAGTCACGTGAGGACAAGTCACGTGGCTAGCCAGTAGTTGCCATATAACATAAAATAATTTAAAGTTTAAGTATTCCTTTAAAATTACTTAAAAAATAATTATATATAAGTTATATAAAACTAGTAAATTAGTATTTATTTAAATATTAATAAATAAATAAATTTCTTATTAAGTAATATTATATAAAATAAGCTAGAATTTATATAAAGCTATTTAAATATTACTCTTTTTTATAAAGCCTCTAATATTTCTCTTTAAAAAAAATTTCTTTTCTATTTTTGCTTTTTTTAATTTGTTTTTAAATAACCTCTAGCTTTTTAAGCAAGATATTATTTTAAAGATACTTTTATTAAATTTATTATATAGTTTAAATATAATAAAAGAATATTGGGAAAAAGGAAATTTTTCTCTAGTAATTAAGGAAGCCTAAAGATATTATTAAAGTTTTATCTTGCTTATTAAGCCTTGCTATTATTTGATTGAGTAGTGTACTGGCGCTCGGTCTGGGCTAAACTGGAGTCTTGTTAAATTAGGTTAGCTTGTCACGTGCAATATTACATGCATATCACCAACTACTCTAGATTATTCTAGAGTAGTTGAGTGAGTATTGAGTAGAGTATGAGTAGTGAGAAATATATTTGAATAAAATATGAGCAGGGTCCACCACTCTACTCTACTCTACTCTTTTCCCACACTGCTCCTAGCCACCACATTCTCATACTTTTGCTTTCCATCCAAAAACGCATTTGTCTCAGACTGGCTGGAGCTGATGCAGCACCAGACCAGTGGCCTCAAACAAATGTTTCTCAGCCGCCATCCTCCCAAGATCGAAAGACGAGGCCAAAAAGGGTGTTAGGCACACTACTGTGACGCTACGCCTGCGTCCAATGGCACCTCGCGGTAATTTTAGGACCTCCAGATGAACTATCAAAGATTGGGTGGTAAAATCTTTTCGTGTCTCCACGATAACCGGGCCGGGCTTCGCATTCCGCAGTCTCATCGTGCCAAGTCCCCTGTGCTCCAGAACCCTCCGGCGTCACACAATTCCCTTTCGCCCATGCTAGATAACTAGCCTGATAGTCACTTGTAGGGGCTGGGTCACAGCTGGCTACGTATTCCAACCCTGTTGCTAGTCCTGCGCCTGGAAAAAAGAGAAGGACAAGAGCCGTAATTTTTGGAAGTTGCACTGGATTAGTTAGCTGAAAGCTGCCTAGGTGTGATATATACGTGCTTGCGTACTGTTGTGTTTAGAACAATCAGAGAAATATTGTCCTTTAGAATTGTTGCGTTGTTGAGTTGTGAGGGGAATCCTAAGTTGAGGGGTTGAGTGAGATATTAAGGAATATAAAGAGAGCAAAGAAACAGCATGCTTTTATAGTTATCTTCCTCGTGTTGTACTTTTAGCTTATATTGCGAGTAAAGTGAATTAATTAAAATAACATCTCTAGATAAAGTATAATAGAAACCACGGAGGACTTCATACATATGCCACATACCTACTAAACTGGTTTAGGCACTTGAAACTCACACTTACCTAAAGTACCTATTACTTAATATACATGATAAGCATGTGACGCATGCAGGTATGTGACACACTCTATTAGGTGAAAAAAACCCGTCAAGAGCCTGTTAGCAGTGTCAAGGGTGTGTCATGGTGCGCACGGTACTGTACTTGTAAGTCCGAAATTTTGACACCAATAGGAGTACAGTCGATCCGATCCAAAAGCAACAAAATGAAAAAAAAAAAAAAAGTCTACCAAAATACTACCTAATATAAATTGCATTAATCGGAATTATCGTATATCTTATAGTAATTAATTCCCTTGTCTTCGATTTTTAATACCTTTAATATTGCGGGAGTTACAAAGCACGTGATTATTTTTATACGAGCTTGCATAGAAATTTTCGCGTTTTGTATGAGTAAAAAATTACACCTCGTATCCCTTGGTTCGCTGAGACATTACTAGGCGCTAGCAAGGGGGTGTCCCGCACTGAACGGGAAGGGCGTGCCTGGCACACGGAGTATAATATTTATATACCTCTGTATACAAATTTATTAGTACGTTACATTATTTGAATAATATCTCCGCCAGCACTCCCCCTCTTTGCAGAACGGTATATTACAAAAAACACACCCGACTTGTGAGCGTTTTGGTACACTATTTATTCCTTTTCCTAAGACCCATTTGCATTTTAGGATATATGAATATCACATGTTATGGTGGGGTGTTGAAATTAGGGGCCTGAGGCCCCTAATAGGCTTAGTAAGCCCTGGAACCGAACGCCATGGGGCTGTGCACTAGCTTAATACCCTGTACAGCTGGAATACCCTGTATAGCTGGAATACCCTATACGGCTGGAATACCCTGTATAGCTGTAATCGGTTCAGCTGGCATAGGGATTTAGTACATGTGACTTAGGGGGTTCAGGGCTATATATACGGGCTACTTACCACTGTAGAACAGCAGTCAATTCAGTATCATTCACTTGGTTTACATTGCAAGCACGTGACCCTAGCTTTATTACTTAGCTAGTTCAACAGGTTATGAGTACCGGAAGCTACCTCTACGTACTATAAATCACTAAATCGGCTCACTTGCACCTACCGGAAATATCCCCCAGAAGTATACTATAGAAGACGACTTTAGTATAGAAAAGCCCCGGATCGCCAGGCTTACAGGGCCCAATTATAGGCCCTGGAGCGTTCAGGTACGTAGGCTTTTGATTAGTCAAAGCCTATGGAACGTGGTTAGCCTAGGGGTGGAAACTGCTACTATAGAACCGGGTTCTACAGGGGGTTCTGGTTCTGGAGATGGGAGCGATCCTAAGGCCTTAGGGCCTTCTAGTAATCATACGGAGGTGAAGGACGCTAAGGCGAGCACTATAATCATGAGTTTATGTGCTCAGGAAGCCTTATAGCATATATTACTCCTTGGAACGGCCAAGGAGCAATGGGAGGCACTGAAAGCTTTATATGCCCCCCTGGGCATGCAGTAGCTTAGTACTAAAATTCAGGCTTTTACTAGCTATAAGCCACCGGAACGGGGTGCCACTATTACTGTAGTAGCCACGGAATTGAGTACTTTATAGTACGAAATCGGAACCATTGATCCTACGGAAAAGCCCTCTGAAGCCCTCAAAATATCGATCCTTTTTGGGGCTATTAGGGCACTGGATAAGCGCTTCGCTCCCCTGATATTGCAGCTGGAGATTAGTAGTACTACCACTAATTATAGTATAATAATAGCTCGCTTTAGTAAGCACGAACGGAGAATGGGACCAAAAGAAGCCCTGAAGAAATCTGTTTTACTAGCTAAAACAGGGGAAAAGAGCCCTAAATTTCAGGGGAAATGCTTTAAATATAGTAAATAAGGCCATGGAAAATCTGATTATAAGAGCAAGAAGGTAGAGAAGCAAGAAAATCAGGAAAAGAGCCCTAGTACAGGGCCCTTAGTAATCCCTGGAGGAGGCAGAGAACTCTCTCCAGGGCCTGGAAAATTAACTGAGAAGCCTATAGCAAACGCTAGTAGTACTAAAACCAGTTAGATAGCTCTGGAAGAGCCTACTTATAGCAGAAACGACCTGCTATGGGTAATTAATTCTAGAAGCTCCCGTTACATGACTTATTTACGGGAGGCTTTTACTAAGTATAGGGTACTAGATACTCCTATACTAGTAACTACGGCAAATGGGGCCCGGATTCCGGCTATTACGGAAGGTACTATACTTTTACAGGTGGCCCTGGGGGCCTCTATACGAACTATAAAGCTCACTGGAGTGCTTTACGTACCTAAGCTCGCTGGGAGCTTAATTTCGGTACTATAGCTCCAGGATAAGGGCATTACTATACGCACTACCACTGGTTTCACTAGAAAGAAGCTCTTAATTGAGTTTCAGGGAGCAGTAATAGGGGTTACTAGCCGCTTAGGGA